CCTATATTTTAATAAGCAAGATTAAACAATTTTGCGTGTGACTTTTAGCAGACTCTGTCTGTTACTAAACCCAACGAGAATAAGCGAGTAAGCTACAGTAGTTTATCAACGACAGCAATTTAAGGAAAATCAAATGTGACCAGAATCCAGACACCAGGTTAACGGTCTACTATATGAATTCATCGAGATGGTTATTTCGTAATATGACAGCCAGGCGCATCGGATCGAGGCTACGCTATGCTATCATATGCTGCCTGTGTGCACATGAACCAATGCTAGTCGATTGGTATCAGAAGGGCGGGCAGGCACAGAGGCCTGGTAAGGAGGTAGTTTCGCGTCCGGGGAACCTGAGCATAGTGACCTGCTACTGCAGCCACTGAACCTGGAATGAACCCAGAGGCAGAAAGAATGAGCTCGCTGTTACGGAGAAACAGGACAAACGTTCGGCCCTTTGCAGGGAGAATGTAAAAGGTGAAGGAAGTAAGTAGGGATCGATAGTGACAAGAAAGAAGGGGGCAAGGAAAGATTGGCCCGCACAGACGCCAGTCAGATCATATCTTAGTGTGCTCATTCCACCATTCTGCTGAGGTGAGGACTTGTATCGCAAAGCAAACATCACGAAAAAAATGCCAGATCCTGTGATACCACAGACGCCCCCTAAGCCCCTCTCCTGATTTCTCAGGACCAAGCGGCAGAATTCGAATCTAGCATATTCGATGCAGCAGTCGTCGAAATCCTCCACACCGAAATCGTCGTCACTCAGAAAGCTTAAGCGCACTATCTGTGTAAAGTAGCAACTGAATTGAACAAAACAGTGGATACCCTTGAGTTCTGTCGTATGCATGCATAGATGAAATGTCAGTAATAAAGAATTGATGGAAGATTAAAGAAGTCTTTCAAGAACTGAAAGGTCAGCAAGGAGATTTAAGATAGAACTAATTACGGCTATAATGGAATGAGAGGAATATAAAGTACTGTGTAGTAATAGATAGCCAAAACGCAATAAGTAACAGGAGAGGAGATTAGAGGAAGTATCAGAAGAGACAACCCAGGTTAATATTCAGTGGAGCAGGTTGTTTATTCGAAAATGGGGTGTCCACCGGTGTACTTAATTCTGCCGAAAAATCAAGGAAAGATTAAGTGAGGGAGACGCTCGAGGGGCGGGTCGAAAAGGGGCAGTTATATTGCCATACACTAGGATACGAGTTAATTGATTAAAGCAGTAAAGGATAAACACTTACTCGTTAACTGCAGAAGTAACAGGATACAAGGAACCCATTAATTTTACTGGATTATACACTGCCAGATGTATCTGCGTGAGGAAGTCCTAGTATAGATTAGAGTACAAATAAATATGCTCGGGGCCGTAGACGTATTATTGCCCGAGGTAATTAATTCCTCAGAGCTTTGTTCTGACTTTGGTGTTGCAAACTTGTCAGCGCTGAAGGCAACCTCCCGCCTAGCCCGAAACTTCTCGTAAAGTCTGGGGATGCCGCTTCCGGCAGGTAGCCGAAAATGACGAGTTTATCTTGCTGGGTGCAGCTGACAGACCAGAGCACTCGAGTCCGAAAGCGCCCGGTCAGAAATTAGAGGAGCAGAGTCTCAAATGGTGAAGGTGTGAATGTGGCGCGGATGAGTGGCGGTTAAGATGTATTGGGCGCTACCTGGTCAATTGGGCTGAGAGGAGGTGGCAATCCATTCAAGGCGGATAGACAGCCACAGTGGAATCGTGCAAAATGACTGAAGCGTAATATGGTGAAGATGTATTTCTGCGAGGAGGGTTTATCGTGGATAAGAGTTGAGGGGATAGTTTCTTCCACAATCACCACATACCACAACCAGAGTATGTCCAGTGCCCTCGATAACATGGCCTGAGGTAAACAGTGTATGTCTTGAGCTCGGACGCCGCTTGGTAAATTCAAGGTGTTGTAAGACTTCAGCTGTGGTGTCAGTCATTTTAAGCTTGATTAAAACAACAGGTTTGTAATTTTCGTTGTTTATCTAAGGTAGATTTTATATGTGAGAAGACTGGAGGAAGTTGACGTAGGGACCTTAGCAATGTGAGCAAGGTTGACTAGGGGTCGCGTAACCACCAGAGGTCCCTGCTGAGATGTTGGCGCTTCAGTGTTTTTTGTTGATTAAAGCATATTTCAAAGTGAGGGTTGTGTGATTCTCATCGATCGAGGGTATACACGAAAATCAAATATCGTAATGACAAGAGACTTCTGTAGAAAGACGAGCCGTCCATACTGGACGAGGGCTAAAGCTAAATTTAAGTAAGGGACAAAGACAAGAACTCTTCCAAAAGCGCCCCATCACTAACTATTTTTTTGGAGTGTTATGTGAATTCTAAGATTATACACCTATCGAACTCATTCATTCCAACCATGCTAGAATCAACATATGTTAAAATCCGCACGAATGTGGACTGATAAAACTTACCGATACGCCAGAACTAAGACCGATCAGACACAAGCTCTCGATTCAAAAGTTCAGAAAAAAGAGTACAAATGCGTTCACAATCAATAGCAGACGCAGTGTCCAGGGTGACCGCAGGGCGTAAAGGCTAAAGGCAAGCTGCGCGAGAAATTGTACAAAGCGTATCCTCTCAGTCGCCAATGAATACACTAGAACTAGAAAATATATCCATTACAGCATTCCGGAATACTTACACAACGACACTGTAATAAAACATCGGAATGATAAGACAAAAATGGTTGTCTAAAGTTGCTTTGACACTACGGCGTAATGATAACAAAACTATTTAACGATGCATTAATTTAAATGTTTTTTCGTGCTAAACATTTGTTCTGAGAATATTGACTTGTACAAAAGTAACACGTCAGCTTGTGCTACCCATTTTCAAAAATGCGAGTAAAGCAAGGTTAGGAGTGGCTCGTTTGTGTTTTTACTTTCCATTTGTATAAAATGTTGGTTCTCTTCTCATACCGTTTCCTTAACTTTCGTGTGGTACTAAGTTTTCACGATTGAGTCCAGCCTAATGTTTTCAGTATTTCATCCGGGCCGGATGTTCTATATTATCTGGCCATTTAGCAACATTGCTTTAAATATTCTCTATTGCCGTATGGGATTGATACATAAGTAAACAATGCAAGACCACTTAAAATAAGCTTCTTGTCTTCAGAAAGAACGAAATAGCCAGCCTAATAACGCGCGGCTGTATCAGCGCATGTCATGCCTGCAATGGTAAAGATGAGTGCAGTCAGAATGTCTCAGAAACTTTAAGTCCTCATTGCTTATAACATCACCAACACATGCTGGATAATGGGACGAAACTTATTGCATCATCGTGAAACGAAAATTGACTCCATCGCTCATCGGGCCTTCACCGTGAAATATTACTAGTCCAATATGAATTCACAGCACACCCATCTTAGGCACCTTGTATAGCGCGTTTAGCCTCTAGTATGTGTGTGTGCGCCTTGCCACAATCCGTGCCAACGTCCCGCTTCAAGCGCCAATATCAAGGGGCGCATCGGTGGCATGGCACTGGCGCGGCCTTTCTCTATTAGAAGACAGAAAAGCGCGGGTGGGACTCGCGGACCCGGTAACGCCCTGTGTCCAACCATAAAAAAACACATATGAGTCGAAGCCGCGGAATCTCGTGACCACGGATCAGAGCCAGCCGCCGTGGCTATTCCCGCACCCTCCGAGCGATAGTTACGCTATTTGTGTTTCCGTTACCATGTAAAATAGATCCACCCCAGTACTCACTGTTCACACTAGTTCATAGATTAACCCTAAAGTAAAATAACTAATAGTGGTGCGTAATGATTTAGATGTTAATGCGACTCTTAAAGACACAAAAAAACAACCAATACTATCTATATATCCATACTCAACTTTTTGGTAATCGGTCATGATATTGTGACCCCCTTTATCGAGTTACTGTGTATTGTACTGTGCTTCAGTATGCAAACTGTCAAGGTCTCCATTGTCAACATATCTAGAGAATCATTCGATCGTCACACAATTAAACCCGAAGTCGTTGTAAGGAAAAGTTTTACGATGTACAGATATGTAATTAAGTACATGTTAAAATGAAGGCGCTGCGGCGGGTTACAAGATGGTAAGACCTTCGAATGTTATTAGTTTCTTGTAGTATAAAAATTTTGGAAAGCTTATTCCATTCTGCAGTGCCTACGCTGTGATTCTAACAAAGTCCAACTGGATATGCGCATGATGTCATCCAATCTTTATGTAGTCAGTTTAACCCCTCAGCAGAAAACTGTTCACTTGATTAGCATCTCGCAAAAACGTTACGATGCGTGGGATTCAGCCCGTTTTACAACCCTATTCCTTCAATATGACTGTTTTATACACACATCCACATACCAAATTACTTTGCGTTTTGTGTATGGACGTAGCGCGCCTACCTATAGTGTAGTCTGCGTCTCGACGCTAAGAGGAAGCACGCAGGCGAAGAGCGGACACTTCGCGCACGCAGGAATGTGGATCGGCGGACCGGCGGCCAGGCCCTGGGCGCAAGGCCGGGCTCACGGGGCTGGGGCTGGCGGCGCGCCTGAGCCGCGCGGCGCTGGAGTTGGTCCGGAGAGCGGGGGCTGGCGGCGCGGGCGCGGGCGAGCGACAGGTCGCCGTGCGCCAGCGAAGAATAGACCACCCAGACGCGCGAGAAGCCAGCCACCGACGCAGGGAAGGCTCCAGCGGCGAATCTAACAGCAGCGTCCACGCGCCACTGCGCAGATCACCAGCGCTACCTGGAGATGCTCGCTAGCCCACGCACGCACGACGCCAGCCCGTTAACACGCGCAACGGGTCACGGCGCCGTCAAGCGCCGTCCACGCGGAGGCGCACCGCGCAGCAGTGAGATCTAGCTTCGCGCCGGAGATACGTCCAAGGTTATATTACTTGGCTGTCGAGGTGACGCCGCGTCCACTGGCGAAGGTCCGACGTTTCAGTCGACTTGACGCCCTGAGGAGGTCTGCAAGACATA